TGTCGGCGCAAATGGTCACTTGTTCCGATTATGGGCCTACAATATCAATGATACATCAACCGATGGAGTAGTATGCTTTTTAATAAATTTAAAAAAAAAATTCTATTTCTGTACTATACCGTAGCAGGAGTACCCTCTGTAGAGTTCCTTCTGTTGACCTTGGAGTGGCATTGTTCGCGCCACGAGATGGTAATACTCGAAAATACCAAGGACATCTTCTCGAAACTGCTTTTATCGGAAACATTATATCAAGCGGATAATTCTTGGGAACAAAACGAACGTCAAGATCACCACGCGCATTGGCCGAAGCAATTCGAAGCTTTTTATAGCCCGCTTATGTTAGTTATAGTTTGATTGAAGAACCGAACGAAGAACTACATTTGATCCAATTACTTTAGGTACCTAAGCAGGTCCAGGGAAGGGAAGAAGGCGAAGAATCCAGCGATACAAGCACCAGTGCTACAAAAAGCACGGGTTTAAAGCTAAAACTAAAGTAAAGTAAAGTCCTAAAGTAACTCTAAATAGCAGTGTTACAACTCTGCCTCTAGTTTTTGCATATTTCCAGGGTAGGAAGGGGCTTTCCCCCTAGCTCGCCATCCCCTGTTCCTTCGAAGGTTCGCCCTGGACCCACCGATGTTTGAATACAAATAATAGAAGTTTTCTTTTGCGAGCATTTTTGGAATTTAATTAGATATTGGTTTTTTTTTGGGAACATTATTAAACTTAGTAATGGCATCGACGATGGTTGCCAAAATCGCCTGGACAGTCAGGTCCATCTTAGTTATTTTACCAGGACATTCCTTTGTACGAGGCACAACTATACAGGTCTTTCGATCCTGGGCTGCATACCTCCAGTTAGTACCTACTGTTCGGTTTGTGTGCGGTCTCTTTTCGAAGAAAACCCAAGCGGTCATTGAGATTCTTGGAGATACCGCTCACAAATGGGCGACATCTACCGATTGTCGGCAAGACGAATAACACACCTCGCTCATCGAATTTTATTTTCTTCTGTATTCTCAGTGATTTCCCGCATATCGGGAATTGTTAATGTAATCACAAAGAAATAAGTCGAGCACATTTCACTGCGTTGTTTTTCCCGTCACAACTAACTCGCGCTCTGCAACTTTCGTCAGTGACCACATTTCGCGCCTGTATGTCCGTTGCCTTCAGTGCAATGATATTGAAGTGGTGGGCGCTTTTCTTCCTGTTTGTTACTTTGAGGACATCGACGATGCTGTGAAATGTGTGCAAACCAGTTGCTCTTCTGTGTGTGGAATATTCGGCTGGGAACTGTGGCACATATTTACTTCCTGATCAAGAAGAAGACTTAGCTGTTCATTGTTCTTGTTTTGTTACTTTTTAGGTCTGTAAATTAGAAATTCCCTATGCCATTATAATTGAAGAGGGGGCTTGACAAGGCAAAATTTTGCACGAGCAGTTGCTCCGCAGTAACAGCCACATTAAAAAAAAATTACGGTGCATTTTTGCAGAAATATATTTTTATTTTTCTAAAATAGAAAGTTATAATATGAAAGAATGGAAAAAAGAGAAAAAAAAAAGGAAAAGAATTTATAAAAAAAAGCCTTTATAAAAATTTTAGCACGCTCATGTGGAGCTGCCGGTTTCGCAAGCTGATGCCGAAGAATGTCGTCGTTCAGATGGTCATGCGGAATGTGTGAACGGCGTGCGGCTAATGTTTCTGAAGGAGGGTGGCCGGACACTTCTTGTTTGCTCCTCGAATGCTATCAAGCCACAACTCCGTGAACTGGATGCACTAACACTACGGGAGCAATCAGCTCCAGAAAATGTTATCGGTGTGTGCTCGGCACAGGCTGATATCAATACAACTGCAGTACTTGTCGGTAAGTGCCTCTACGATGATGCTGAAATGTGCTTGAGATTCAGATTTCAGTGAATCGCAGCCGACAACGAAGCAAAAAGCTGAATATTACACTCGTAGACGGGCCCACGGACTCCTGAACGTGGGGAGGAGAGTTCTTTCCCACCCTGGAAAAAGATTTTTTAAAAAGGTTTTAAGAAAAGGCCGGTTTTTTACAAAAAAAAAAA